TTATAAGCTAATGATCTAATAGTCTAAAGTTGTACGGTGACAATTTTATGATTATTAGCCATTTGATTTATTTTTTATCTTCTATTAAAACCACAGGGACCAAAAATGTACTTTACTCTATTTTATATTTAAACCACAGGGACCACAAATGTAATTTACTCTATTATAGCTCATTTTCCCCAGTACACCATGAATGGCGTCCCCTCTCGGCCAGCACTTGGTTCTCCGACAAAGCAGATCTACCACACTTACCTGGTTCTTCAACGAAGCAGATCCTCCCGTCATCGTCCGCTACGGTCTCCTCACCACGACGACACATCTTTCTTCATCTTTCCCAGCCTCCATTTTCGTTTATACTCCAGCAAATTTACCGAAGCTTCGATTTCGTCATCTTTCCCAGCCCTCGGCTGATTCTCCGATGATCATCCCACAAAAGCTTCAATTTTTCGTCTTCCAGTAAGCAACCACTGTTCTTCAATCTTTCATGGGGTTTTAATCAACAAAAGCTTCGATTTTGATTTTTTTTTTCTAGGGTTTCAATCAACAGAATCTGATGGGGTTACATCAACTGGTTTCGATTTCTTCTAGGGTTTCGATATCGATCGAGATGCCAAAAACTTGAAAAGATCGAGGTGCCAAAAAGATGGACAGATTTTCGTTACAGAAGATGAAGACTCGTTTTCGTTTAAAAAAAGGGGTTTTGCATCGAGTTCATATGAAACCTTCCTATTTCATAGAGTTCATCAATAGGTTTTGCAATTTATTTAGTCTACAAAAAATGAGTTTGTATTTGATATTGTTGCATTTGATCTGGTTTGTTCTTCAAAAAAGAACGTTCCCATGGGTTCATTGATTTGATCTTGATTTTGAATATTGTTTGAGTTTGAATTTAGTTTTGATTCTTATTTGTGGGTCTTTGATTTTTATTTTCGGTTTTTGTTGTTAGGGTTTGAATTTGGTGCGTGATTTAGTGTACGGTGGTCGGAGATGTGGTAGTGACCGGAGAAGATGATAATAGAAAGGGAAGCGGTGAGGTGTCTTGTGTCTTACCAGTTACCAGAGAAGTTGAAGAAGGTAGAGTAAATTACATTCTTGGTCCCTGTGGTTTAATAAATAAATAGAGTAAATAAAGGGTAGGAGGCTTGATTTTCTTGAAAATTGTACCAATTAATTTTTTTCATAAACATCACCTAAATAATCATTTTATTAATTTTTGTTTTATTTTAATTTATTATATATTATTTACAAATTTACCTTATTTCTGTATGCTGCTGCATGAGCTATCCCATATTTAGATCGAATAAACAAATACAAATAACTTTTACGTGTTAATTGTATTACAGATAATGTTATTTTAGAATAAATAAAAATGTAATATAAATTATGTTACGTCTTATTTATATATCAAATCT